ATATCTATATACATTTGCAACCAATTAAAATTAAGATAAAACCAGTGTTTAATATCCAAGAAGTTAAATTATGTTACCTCCTTTCTGTGGAATGAATGCTAAAAAGAAGTGGGTCTGTAGCCAGAGCTCCAGCAGCTACTAAGTGAACAGAAGCAAGCTGAGGAACAACCATAATCCTGTATATGTTAAATTATATTATACATTTAAAATGTTACACACCTACATATGTTTGCATCGAATATATGCAGTAACAGCTACCGCTGAGTTGCATTGTTCTAAGCATGCTAAAGAATGGCCTCATTTCATTCTCACTACCAGCTACTTCATTCTACAGGTGAAGAGGCAGGCATAGTAAGGGCTTTTCTCCAGGTGCGATTTAAACCAGCTTTCAGACTCCCGCATTACCATTCGGCCACCCGGAGAAGGAAAACGGGAAGGAAGCGATGTCGAACTGCTTACACCAGGAAGAGGCGGGCGGGGGGGAAAGAACTCACAGGGATATTTCATATGTCTCTATATTATTTGAATCTTTTACAAAATGTTTCATCACTTACTTACATATTTTAAAGGGGGGAAAAGTTTGGCAAGGGACTCGCTTTTGTTGCGTTATGGAAACAAAGTTTAAAATGCTTTGTAAGACAAAAAAAATGTGGAGAACGTGTCTTTCTTCAGACATTTCCCAGGTTCCTCGGCTTAAATCGTGCGAGACATTTGACATTATGTGTTGCTATCGCTTATGGCCTTTACATTTTTCGACATTACATCGATGAACGATGCACTGATTGCATTATCACCGATGACCAGTTACCTATTAAGTGTTAATACTCACGCAGCCTTTTACAGCCTCTGCTGTGGCTATAAAGCAAGGCTTCCACCGCCTCCCAACAGGTCCTCGGAGATGGAGCTGACCTGGAATTTAGCCCTTTGGGTTTTCCTAAGTTTTTCCCGCGGCGGGTTCGCCTGGGAGCCTGCCGACAGCTTCATGGCAGCGGCAGGGGCTCTGCCTG